AGAAGAAGAAATCCTGGAAAACTGTAATTAGCTCCTAGAGAGCTGCCAGAGAGATTTTTAAACTCCAATCCCTTGAGCTTGCTTCTAAAGCTCCATTGACCGGAGTTTCCCCGGGATGTGATCTCTCACGTTGAAAACCCCGGCCAGCCTCAAAATGTCCACTATCGCTTGCACAAACTTGTCGACATCAGCCAGCATGTAAGTTATCACGTTCATGTTCATGCGAGCAGAACGGACTCCCGCGTTCGTCACAGAGGGGTCGAGCAAGACCTCTCGTCTCTGGAAATTACTTTGGAGACCACTACAGTGGTATAGCTTTCAGCCAATACACTCCAGAAGTGAAATTCTACAGGAAACTTATCAACAAATTCGCTGGCTGGACGTCCAAGGTTTGGAGAAGCAATAAGATCATGGACAGGGTAAACAGGCACCTCTTTTCAATCTTGCAAGATCGGCGTGAGACCCTCCGGTTTTCACCAGCGAGGAGCCCATGGCATTCATAGACGTGCTCATTTCCAGAGAAAATCTCTGAGACATCATCATAGTCTCTTGCTCGTTAAGTTTTAGCTCAACATGGAAAAATGGAATCTCACAGGATCTGTTGCTGGGAGCTCTAGCTACCTCGGCTCTCTCGCTGGAATGGGCTATGGCCGATCTTCTCAGGAATCGCCGAGTTCTCGGCTCAGAGCCAGATCGATGCAAAGAAAAGCTTGTGGACGAGTCGGACATTGCAAAGCTTCCATACATCAAGGCCATAGCCAAGGAAACACTGAGACTCCTGGCTCAGCTAGCTCTTCCCAATATCGTCCAAGGAGGCCCGATTAAACTCAGGGGCTATACCATCCCGGACGATACCACGATCTACATCAACACCTACTGGATCGCCATGGACGAGAGGTTTTGGAAAGACCCTCTAGAGTTTCGCCCGCAGTGTTTCATGCCAGACATCGATGCCTTTGGCCATGGCAGGAGAATTTGCCCTGGTGCCAAGCTCGGCGACTGGAAGCCTGGAATAAACGTTTGGTATGGTTTGACTAAAGAGTCAACCAGCGTATGTAATATTAGGGAAACAATAATCAAGCCCATTTGGTGCCTTTATTCTTTCACCTGTCAATGCTTTCACTGTTGTACTTAGTTTCTTTGAAAGAAAGATGATCCCACATAAAATATAAGCTGATTTCGTGTACGATTTTAGTCCAACCACAAAAGGTAGCTATATTTTATTCACCAAAGCTGTGTGAGTTAGGGTTTGCGATGGAGTGGATGAGCCCAAGACTTAGGGAGGTGCTCAAATTAGCAGAGGAGAAAATGAAGAGCTACGAGGAGGTCAAGGCTGCCCGGCCAAGGAAAGAATCGGCCGACAAGAAGAAAGGATGGGAGGCGCCCAACCCGGAGACCGAGGTATCAAAAAAAGCTCCGCAAGAACTCCTTCCCAGGTATGACAAGCCCCGGACAGACGTCTCTGTGTCAAGGAGCGTTGATCCCTGTCTCTAAATAAAATAATGGAATTTCGTAAAAAGATGGGTAATATCCAATAGGAATTCAATCTCTAGCGAGCGAACCGTCGAGTCCGTGAGAAGAAGTTCTTCCTCCTTTGAGCCCAGAAACAAAAGAAATGATGGAGTGCTTTTTACTTTTTTATTTTAGCCGCGAGACTCAAGACAACTTTGGAAGATCCAAGTCTCTAAATTGCGACACTAAGCACCAGATCAACAACTCTTCCTTGTGTTCCTCTAGGATCTCTGCCAAGTCTCTCCCGGACAAATTGGTGGACACAAGTTTTCTTTGGGAATGATTCATAGGATCTTCGCAAGAATGAGGTGCCCGGAGTTCGTTCTTGCTCACGAACGACTAAGATCTGGGACTCAAGCCATATGCTCTGGTGCGTCAAAACTTTCACCGGCAGCTAGATGAAAAAATAGAAGCAAACACATTGCCAATAGTATCAAAGGCCTGTTCATTCCTCTCCAATTTGAGGATTCTTGTTTAGGGAAGTCTTCACCAGGATATTGGTCATAAGGACTTCTAGCTTGAAAAACATTGCTCGTTATAGCATCACACTATTTTTGCTGACAAGGAAGTTCACCAGACAAGCTTGTGGCCCAATGTCAGCTCACCCATTAACCAATTTATAATTCTCCAGATGAGAGTTTAAACTTGAACAAACTATTTGTGAGGATTGTTCAAGCTTTCTGTTGATCTCTACATGTGATCCTCGCGAGCTTACTTCCCGGATTGATGCCCGCGCACGACAGGACGACAATGGATCTCGACATCTGCGGGAAACTCTTCCAGGAGGTCCAGACCCGTGACGTAGCGTCGTGGATTGCTGCATACACCGCGAATGGGCATCACTACGAGTTCCTGAAGCTCTCCAGCGGCAAAACCAGGAAGATCTTAACCTGTGAGACGCGAATCTGGCCGTGACACCGACCTCGCTACGGTTTCCCCGAGCTCTGAAGCTGCTCAAACGGAGTTACCTGGGAGGAGCGCTCGCTTTATCTACGCGGACTTGAACTTCTGCAGTGGGAAACGCCATCTGCACGCAACGAGGCTCCGTTTTCCTGTCCGCGAAACTCTACACCGAGGACGAGTTAAGTGCTCGAGTACGTCAAGGCCCTGGACGGAACACCTTCGAGAAAAGCACCATCAGCCTTGATCGGAGCATTCTACAAGGTGGCCTCGCTGAGCGTCCTGAGTCGAGGATCACCATTTGCGACTACGCCAAGAACTGGAGCACTCGCTTGATCTCGGCTCGGATGCGGACTGGAGTTGCCTGCTCATCGACATCCGCAGCTTGGAAGATGCTCGTAAGTGTTTCGAGAGGAGCTCTGGACAAACGGCAGAAGGATGCTTCCACATGAGGATGGCGCTGGAAGGCGGTGCTAAGCGTCCTGGAAGTGAACAGAAGAGAGCTCCTCCACGGGAGAGGCTGGCAAACGGACGTCTTGGTCGGGACCGTGGCGCTCAACGTTCAGGCTGGTCTCTGATTTATTTAGCAAGGTGTATAGTTCCGCACGCTAATGTTAAATGAAAATGGTAAGAAATCTTAATCTACAAAGTAATAGCAAAGTTACCAAATCAGTGCTTGAGAGTAGTAATCCTGATTGATTAGATTGTTACGTCTCATGTTCAAGAGTCTTTCTCCAAGACATACTTTTGTTATACAAGGAATGGCATCCTTTACAAACAGTGTAAAAAACAAACATTAGAAATAAAATGCAAACCTGTCATCCAGGTGTACGATGGTAGAGGAGCCCGTCTTGAAAGGTAATATATGAAACAACTTTCGATGTACAGTGAATTGAACCACAAAATCCGTGTAGATTTGATTGGGGGGCGCTGAAAAGAACGAGTAATCGAGATTCAAGCAGGACTCACCATTGTGAGATAGTTCTCGGAAAAAGAGCTTCACGAACTCGTAAAAATTGACGTGAGCATCAGTGATATCGAGGCTGAAGGAATACCATGGATCTCTGAAATATCCACCTGAAAGTTTAAAAGGATGCCGTGGGATGAGCTGGGCAGACACGTAAGCAAACGTGGCTGCCGCCGTGGCTTTATTATGTTATTTATGGAGGCCCTGCGGAGAGGAGCATTAGCGAGGCTCTGAAAATGGCAGCTCGTGAGGCAAAGAAGAAGCGACATAGCCGATGCGAGGAGCAGGCCCGGGCTGTCGAAGAAGCCCTAGAAAACAGCCTTCGAGAATTGGCTGCCCGGACGAGGAAAGAATTGGGCGACAGGAAGAAAGGATTGGAGGCGCCCAACCCCGAGCCCCATGTATCAAAAAAATCCCCGCAAGAACTCCTTCCCAGGTATGACAAGTCTGTCGAGGAGTGATGATCCAATAAAACTAGTGAAGCTTTGTAAGACATGGGTAGTTTCCAATGCGATCGCGTCGTGAAGTGGGGATCTTACTTCCATTTCTAGCAGAATCTCGATCAAGCCCGCGATCGGATGATTTCCTCCTCCAAGCAGCGAGCAGCAATCAGCGATTCCAGCACTCTCGCGTCGATTCTCCGGAGCTGCGGCAATCTCGAGCAGGGGAAGGGTATCCACGCATGGATGATCTACAATGGAGGGATAGACAGGGGGACCTTCTTCGGCAATCTCTTGGTCCAGATGTTTGGGAGCTGTGGCAGCATCGAGAATGCACAGGCGGCATTCCATCAAATCCACGGCCGGAACTTCTTCTCGTGGAAGATCTTGCTCGCGGCGTATGCCCAGAACGGGGAAATGACCATCGCGAGCTCGCTGCTTGGATTGATGCCCGCCCACGACACCGTCGCATGGACAACCATGATCACTGGCTATGGAAAGAGCGGCGATCTCCACATCTGCGAGAAACTCTTCCAGGAGATCCAGACCCGGGAGGACTGTGGAGTGGCGTCTTGGAACGCGATGATTGCGGCATACACCGCGAATGGGCATCACAGCGAGAGAGCTCGGACGGGAAAGCTCATGCTCCTGGATGGAATCCGCCCGAACAAATCCACTCTCATGAATCTCCTGGAGCTCTCCAACACCAGGAAGCTTTGCCAGTGTTTGATCGAAGAGACCGAGCTCCAGTGTGATCCCACTGTGGGAGCTTCGCTGTTGAGAGCTCACGGGCGATCTGGAAAGCTTGCGGAGGCGAGAGCCATCTTTGAGAGGATCCGGGGTGACAAGACTCTCATCGCTGGAAACACCATGCTCTGGGCTTACGCGCGAAACAGCTGCTTGGTGGAAGCTCGCGAGTTCTTCGAGGGGATGGCTCGCCGGGACGTTGTCTCGTGGACGACGCTCTTCTCGGGATGGATCCAGCAGCAGCATACTGGCGATGGCGATCTTTGCGATCTTCATCGGGCCAAGAGCGTCTTCGATCGAATGCCCCAGTGGAACACTGTCTCCTGGAACTCATGCTGGTGGGGCTCGGATCCAGCGGAGAAGTCGAGGCCGCGGAGGAGATGTTTGAGCTGCGAGCCGGAGGAGAGCTCCGAGACGTCGTGACTTGGAACTCGATGATCACGTCCTACGCTCGCCATGGGAGCTTCTCTCGAGCGCTGAGCCTGCTCAAGCGGATGGACTTGGAAGGGGAGCCTCCAAACCGAGTTACGTGGATCACCATCCTCGACTGCTGCGATGATCTCCGCCATGGAAGGCTGCTTCACCACGAACTGGAGCGCTCGCTTGATCTCAGCTCGGACGCGGACTTGAGTTGCCTGCTCATCGACATGTACGGGAAATGCCACAGCTTGGAAGACGCTTGCAAGTCCTTCGAGAAGAGCTCCACCACCACCAGTGTAAGATCGTGGACTGCATTAATCGGAGCGTTCGTTGCAAACGGCTCAAACCGGAGAGCGATTGAGAGCTTCCACAGAATGGCGCTGGAGGGCGTCCATTTTGACAAGGTGGCCGTGCTGAGCGTGCTGGAAGCCTGCTCTGGAGCCGGAGACTTGGACAGAGGACAGCTCCTCCATCGCTATGCGGTCGAGAGAGGCTGGCAAACGGACGTCTTGGTCGGGACCGCGGCGCTCAACATGTACGTCAAGTGTGGGAGATTCGAGCAGTCGAAGCTCGTCTTCGATGCCTTGCCGGAGAAGAGCCTCGTGTCGTGGACGTCGATGGTGTCCAGCTATGCCGGGAGCGGACGCTTTGCTGAGGCGCTGAGAGCTTTCAAGCTCATGGACTTGGCCGGCCTGGGAATGGACGGTGTTGCTCTGGCTTGCATCTTCGACGTCTGCGCGGCCTTCACAGCTCTCTCGGACGGCAGCGCTGTCTACTCGAGCGTCGAGGCGAGCGGCGAGAAGCTCGATGTCACTGCTGGAGCAGCCGCCATCAACATGTATGGAAAATGCGGAGATGTGTCGAGCGCGGCGGAGATCTTCTCGCAGTACCGGGCCTGGGAGTGGAGTTTGGTGCTCTGCACGACCATGGTGGCGGGCTTTGCTCGAAACGGACATGGCCGACGAGCTCACGAGCTGTTTGAGTTGATTGAGCTTCAAGGACTAGAACTGGACGTTGTCAGCTTCACCACCATTCTTGCTGCGTGTAGCGCTGCCGGGCTGCTCCACGATGGTCACAGGTACTTTGTTTCCATGAGAGGGGACTATGCTCTCGCTGCCACCATGGATCACTACGTTTGCGTGATCGATCTGCTGGCAAGATCTGGGCGAGTTGACGAGGGCCTAGCTTTGCTGACAACCATGCCTTTTGAGCCTGATGGAGTCTCGTGGGTGACTGTGTTGAGCAGCTGCAAAACTCATGGCGATTTTGATGTGGCTGCCACCCTTGCTGCTCGAGTGCCTGCCTCGGAAGCCGATCATCCAGGAGCGCTCGTTACATTCTTTAATCTCATTGCAGATTCATCACCATTGCTCGGTTAGAAAACGATACCAAACAGATTTTTTACCTCAACAGTTCCAACAAATGTTGGAACGAGGTTCAAGTCGAGTTGCTATTGTGACCAATCTGTCGCCGACGGATTTCCATTTCAGATGAGTGCTGAGTCCATGTCCGACAGTGGAGCTGGATTGGAATCATAGAAGGCCAAGAGTGAAATCACTACAGAAAAGAAACAGAGTGTGAAACACACCTAGCAAGTCGTCGTCCTGGTCCTGGAAACCCGATAGCTCAAGAAACAGTGGTGGAGAGGACCGTGTTGCCTGAGCCCGATTGACGCTTTCCTTTTGTACAGTCAAAGGCGTGAAATAGTGCTCTGAGGTCGTGTTACTGGTGCTGGTGTTCTCAGTCGCGGCCTCAACAGGCTTTGAGAGTGCGGCATCGTGAACTGCTTGCCGCAATTCTTTGAAATCATCTGGAATATAAAAGCCGGCGTAGTCGATATATAAGACGTTACTGAACATCTTAGAATACCTTCGTAGTCCTTGTGGCCAGAGAAAGCCAGTGAAGACGAGCGGAGGTCCAAATCATCGTCGTCACCACCTTTGTGCAAAAGAGAGAACGGCGAAGACAGTGTTGGCAGCTGAGGAAGCTTTAGTGTCGGGCTTGGAGGTGCCAGTTCTAGGGGTCCAGGAGTGCCTCTATCATCAGCAACACAGTCCGAAGTCACGTCCTGCAAAAGCTAGTCAGAACATGGCTCAAACAAGGTGGACACGTACTTGAGAGGAAAGTGCAGAGTCAGAATACACGCTATACCCAGCGAAAACAGCTTGAGAGGCAGAAGAAACCGCAGGGTGATTGACATGTTGACGGAGTTTGTTAATGTTTACTTCCATTCCTGGAATGGCTTCCTTTAGCTGCGAAATGAGCACCTGAAGAACAAGTCCTTTTTAACAAACAAAGAAACCCAGGAAAAAGAATTAATACCTGCATATTTGAGAGGTGTTGTTTTTGCTCCGCTAACGTTGCCCGTAATGCTTGTGTGTGTCCCTCACAAGCATCCACCGCATTTATAAGATTAGGACCAGTGCCTTGATTTTGTCGTGACTGTACGACAATCCCAGTCATGTAAGCAAGTTAGACAAAGCTAAAGTTTTTACCAGCTTTTGAGCTTGTTTGTGTATGCGTTGCAAAGCATGGGTCCACCGTCTAATAACTTCAGCAACATCAAGCGGGCTCGACCCTTTAACTGCCCTGTCTGTTCTGGCTTCGTCGCCATGAGCTGAAGTTTCCTGCTTTTCTAGTTGCTGATTGCAGCCATCGTCATTGGAGTTCAATGAACTTGGTATGACATTCATCCCTCTGTCGATGGCCACACGCAAAGCCGATCCATCTATACGATACCTATAAGCGCAGCGTCAAACAAAATCCAGGAACCAAAAGATTAAACACCTGTGGTCACGATGAGCAATCAAGTCTTCTATAGGGCCGCTTGCTAGTTTGTCGTGCCTCTCTATAATCAACAGAAAATCAGACAAGAATAAGAGAATACAGAAATTCAAGAAATGCAAACTGACCGGTATGTTTTAGAAGAGACTCCCAAAGCGTTGTAGCCCGAGACGCTGACGTTACTTTCTGATTTGCAAATGCTCTAGAACTTTGTAGCTCCTGCATTTTCTCCAGCTCTTGATGTAAATAAGCCTAATCGACAGCAAGACGAGTTCAAAGTAGGGAGAAAGAAGAAGTTAGATACCTCTTCAGCACACAAAGCCCGGTATTCAGCCGTCATGTCATGAGCAAGACTGGACCACAATGCCTGTTTATGCACGGCCGCAGACGCACCTTGCAGGAAACGCCTACGCTCTAGAGCAATACGTGCCTGCCAAAACACGCAAGTTCCAACAATCAATCAATCAACCAAATCAACCAATCAACACTCCACCTTTGTCACGGCAAGGAGTGCTGATGCATGTGAATTTTGCGTGATGACTTCCGTGAGCGACGCTGGCAAGGGGTTCTCGGCAACATCCGCTGGGAAGTTCCGTCGATGAACTTCTCGCAGAGCGTGGGCCGAGAGCTGCCATAATAGCTCCACAAATCTAGAGAAGGAAAAACGAAAAAAATTCAATCATAGGAACCACGGAGGCAAAACAAGACCCACCTCTGACCACAGCATGTAGCTAGCGAGGAAACCCGAGAGCTACTCCGAGGTAAAGCCCCTTGAGCCTCTAGCTCGTTGATAAGACCCTGGACAATCTGCAAAGAAAGGAATTTCCATCCTTTGAGAACTCTAAAACGAGCCAGAAGCACAGCGAAAGAATGCGTATTACTGTACTTTCCGGAAGTCGCGAGACTGTGCCGCGTCGAAAATCGGCCAGACACCGGCGAAATCCTGCGAGATCGAGCGTGAGCGCCTCAAATCAACCTACATTCTCGCCTTCTTCCTCACCTTGGCGGCCAGCGACGGCCCCCGAAGCGCCGAGAGGAGAAAATGTAGCAGCGCCTCGCCGACCCGCGGATTGGAGTGCCGGAAGAGGCCAGCTCGCGATCCAGCGCCTTGCCCTAGAATGCTAGCATCCAGGCCCAGGAGCAAGCAGTTGCCGTAGAGCGCCGCTTCCATCTCCGTCTCCTTGTCGCGGATCACATCCTTGGTAGCCTCCATCTTGGAGAGAAGGCTGCCATTCTCCATAGCCTAAACTCTCCGCTCAAAACAAAGAAGCTCCACTCAAACAAACTAAGACCACCTTCTAAGGTAGCTACTGTGAAGCCGGCGTGTCCCTAGCAAAGACCCAGTGCAAAGCCAACGAGTCCCTGGCCATTAAAAAATGGGAATGTTTCCACTCCAAGGGTCTGGATTTTTAGGGTTCCAAAGGGAGAAAAGAAAAGAAAGAGAGAAGAAATGGTGTGGCACGATTCTGATTCAGATTCAGATTCCAGCTGCCGCGATCATCACACCACTGCTGCCGATCGAGCGCGGAAGGTAGTGAATCGATTCATTGTTGGCGCGGCGCCGTGATTTTCTTCTTCTTTGTCTGGAATTTTTGCCAGGATTACTACAAGATCTTGGGAGTGGACTGCGATGCTTCCACTGACTCGATTCGAATCAGCTACTTGCGGCTCGCTTTGGTAGATTTTCCAAGCACAGATTTTTCCCCAACTTGATTTTTTCGTACTTTTTTTTTGTGTGGCAGAAATGGCATCCAGACAAGCACCAAGGACAGGATTCCGCGGCGACACTCAAGTTCCAGGAGATCAACGAAGCGTACACCGGTTAGATTTCGTTCCTCCTTTCTAGTTCTTACTCAAATCATGCGAAGAACTCCAGCAGAGTTCGTATCATACGAAGAACTTTAGCGAAGTTGTAGCTAGAAGTAGATGATTTTCAAGCTACTCACGAGGGTTATGATGCTAGTGATCGCGTGCAGTGTTGAGTGACCCGGCCAAGAGACGAGACTATGATATGAGAGCCGATTTCAACGTCCAGGAGTACAGCATCATAGTAAGAGTCACTCACATTTTCTCCTTGTTCTTCGTAGAGGGTCACTAAATCTTTTCACGGTTTTCGCTACAGGAGTATCTAAATCGATTCAAAGGCTTGATTCTTACGTGCAATGGTCTTGGAATTGGCGACCTCTCCGAGTGGTGATTACTCTCTTTTTTCTGGTTCTTTTCATTTCTAGATTAATTTACAAGGTAGCTATGTTCTTCCGGGGGCGTGATCTTGCATTTTCATCTTGGTTGTCTCGGGATTTTTTGCAGGATGGAGCAATTGCTGCGACTCGGCTATGAGGAAGTTGTGAATATGTACAATCAATGAAAAGGAAATAAGTTTTAAGGGCTCTTCAAAAAACTAAAGGAAATATTTAACCGTCCCGTTATCTTAAACCTAGAAATTCGATCTCCATTCTTATGTTCTTCCAAGATGGGTATGTTCTTCTCTCGATTCTTTACTTCCTTGTTCGGCGATAGGGAAGCCCGGATCCTCGTCCTGGGCCTGGACAACGCCGGCAAGACCACGATTCTCTGTATCCTTTGATCGATCCGTCAGATCTAGCGCTTCTAGGTTGAAATTCCGCGGCGATCTCCGCCCGGGGGTCCTTAACTCGACATTTCAGATCGATTGCAAGCTGGGGAAGTGGTGGAGACTGTGCCAAGTGAGTGAGATTTGCATTTTAGGTCTTGGATCTAGCTCACAAGTTCTCTCTTCCTGTCTCTTCCAGCGATAGGATTCAATGTAGAAACCGTACAGTACAACAACATCAAATTTCAAGTATGGGACTTGGGTACGTGCCTTTCAGTTGTTCTTTGCTCTTTCCAGAATCATTGAAACTTCTCTCGACTCGATCATAGGTGGCCAGACGAGTATCCGGTGAGTATCTTTTGTTTCAAACACTTTGGTTTGCTGACACTCATCATTCAGACCTTACTGGAGATGCTACTTTCCAAACACACAGGCTGTGATTTACGTTGTTGATTCGACTGACACGGAAAGAATGGCAACTGCAAAGGACGAACTCCACGCTATCCTAGAGGTTCTTTTGTGGTTTTTCTCTGGAAGTTTTCTCGCTGACACTCGTGCTAAACTTTAGGAAGAGGAGCTCAAGGACACAGTTGTCTTGATCTACGCCAACAAACAGGTCTGTTTTGATTTTGTGTCCGCGAGGGAACTAAATTCTGGCTTCTCAACAGGATCTCCCGGAAGCGCTCGAGAGTGCAGCAGTCTCGGAGTCTCTCAACCTTCACAAGATCAAGAACAGAGAATGGGCCATTTTCAAAACTTCGGCAGTCAAAGGCGAGGGATTGTTCGAGGGCCTCAACTGGTAACACTGCTACAGACTCGTGCCTGGTTTGATGGTTGCTTCTCTCTCGCAGGTTGAGCGACACATTAAAATCCAAGGGAAGATAGCTCGACTCGATCGGAAGAGAGAAACCAGAATTTGTAGAAGCACGCAGTTGGATAAGGTATCACTTTTTTCCCTGCAAAGCTTGTTAACAGTTTTATAGGAAAACGAAGCGAAAGTACTTTTCTGGGGATATCTTTTGTATCCAATGGCCTGGATTTCAGATACCACGACACTTGTCACAGTGAAGCCGGACCAGATGGCAAGTACTTGTCATGCAAATCGCCACGAAGCTCCGTTCGTGAAATTGGAGCAAGGATATATAGTCGTGAACCAGGGAAGTGCTACACCATTTCTTGGAATAGAGTTACACAACATCGACGAGAAAGAAGACGAACAGTATGAGGGGTATCGCGCTCTCAGGCATATACAGGCGCTCGAGCAGCAAACTTGGATCGCCTGGAGCAGCATTCTCGACGATTGCAGCTCGGCAGCAACAGCAGCAGCAGCAAGTGAACTACGGTGCTGACCCGAAGCCGCAGCCGAACCCGGCAGCCAAGCCGCTCGATATCGATGCGCAGCGCCGGGATCAGCAGCAGCAGCAGCCGCAAGTTGATGGTCAGGCCAAAACCATCGGTGATGTGAGTATCTCTTCTCAGTTTTTTCTCTCTTTTGTTTCTTCTTTGGTTTTGCTCGTTGCGTGATTCCATGATTTCTGATTCCATGGTTTTTTATTCCATTGCCAGGCTCTCGAGGAGGCTGCTGCTAAATCCGGTGACAAGCCACTGGAGCTCAAGGACACGCGAGTGATTCAAAGCGCCGAGGCGCGGGCCACTGGCGCGGCGGCTGGTGTTCTTGGTGGGCCTGCACAGTACGCGACGCGTCTCTATGAGAATGCTGAGAATGCTACACTGGGGGAAGCACTCCAGGTGCCAGATTTTTTATTTCTTTTTCATTCTTTCGTTTCTTCCACTCAGCCCAAGATTCTTCTTCCACCCAGCCCAAGATCTTTTCTTTCTTTCTTCCAGTGATCTTGACGAGAACTGTCGCTAACTACATTGCTTTGGTTGAGTCTATAGGACGTGAAAGCCCATCTCCCGGCTGACAAAGTTGCGACTCCTCGCGACGCGACTCGGATCGAGCAGGCCGAGCAGAGGAACGACCCAATGGGTCGCGTGGATCCGGCAGGAGTGGCGGCGGCAGTGAAAGAGGCGGCGGATTATAACGTGGATAAAGGATTCGTGGCGCCGGGGACGCCCGCCGGGGCTGGCGTGGGGGCTGGCCGGGGAGCGGGAAGGGTCTAGCAAGGGTTTAAGCAACCGGTTTTATTAGAGGGACTCTTTTAGATCATTCTGTCATAAAATCCATTTTAGGGCAAGGACCCTCGTGCAGCGCGCGCTCGTACGTCTCTGCGTGCTTCGTGTTGGTTGTGGTTTCGTTGTGGAACAACGTGTTCCACGCGGATGGAAAGTTCCGGGCGCGTATATATGTGCGTGGTTGAGAGAAAGGGCAATATAGGGTTTTTATTTGGAGCGAGTGATCGAGAGGGAGTAGAAAGGCGCTGAGAGAGAGAGGAGAGAGGATATTTTCTTGCTCTGATTCATTTTCGGGCAAGGATCTTGCCCGGGCATTGGATCTCTCCAGCTTCCTCCGAAAATTGGTCCGGCAAAGGCAAAGCCGGGGCTTCTGTGCCTGAAGCCTCGGCATCCTGCGAAGACAGTTCTTCGCAGGATCCTGTATTTCCACTCCCACAAGCGCAAGCGATGCGGTCCCTAGCGATCCCTCCCATGACCATCGGTAGCGGCAGCAGCAGCGGCAGCGACGACGATGAGGAGGTTCTCTTTCGCGACATTGGCCCGGGCAGGGTTCAAGAAGATCTCGCCAAGCAATGGAGCGCTGGCGATTCCATGGCGCTCTACCGGATCGGTGGCTGGGGGTTCCCATTCTACTCCATCAACGGCGACGGCAATCTCTGCGTCAACCCTAGCGGCAGCGGCAGCGGCGGTGCATCGATCGAGCTCAGGGCCGTGATTGATCGAGTTCTTGCCGCTTCCAGTGGTAATATTTCGCCTCCGCTTATCATCCGGTTCCCGGAGCTCCTCGGCGCCAGGCTCCGCGAGCTCCAGTCGGCATTCCAGGGCGCCATCCACGCGCTGGGCTACAACAATCGCTTCCAGGGGGTGTTCCCGGTGAAATGCAATCCCGACAAGCTGCTGGTGGAAGAGATCGTGGCGGCAGGCAAGCCATTCGCGTTTGGATTGGAGGCCGGCTCCAAGCCCGAGCTCCTGCTCACGATGAGCGCAATGTGCAAGGCACACCCGGACGCCTTCCTCATCTGCAATGGCTACAAGGACGCCGAGTACGTCCAGCTCGCGCTCCTGGCCCGGAGCCTCGGCATGGATTGCATCATCGTCCTGGAGCAGCTGGACGAGGTGGATCTCGTGATCGAGATGAGCCAGCGCCTGGGGATCGAGCCGGCCATTGGGGTCCGATCCAAGCTCCACACCAAGCACGGCGGCCACTGGGGTGAGACATGTGGAGAGGGTGGCAAGTTCGGGCTCTCGGCTCCCGAGATCGTGGAGGTGGCGAGGAGGCTGCGGCGGCAGGGGATGCTGGATTGCCTGGAGCTCGTCCACTTTCACGTCGGCTCGCAGATCCCATGCCTGTCGGTGGTGAAGGACAGCGTGAGCGAGGCGGCGTTCCTCTACTGCGAGCTCGCGCTCATGGGCGCCGGGATGAGGATCCTCGACATTGGTGGCGGGCTCGGGATCGACTACGATGGCTCCGCCTCGGCCTCCTCGGACATGTCGGTCGGGTACACCGTTCCGGAGTACGCGAGCGCGGTGGTGGCGGCCATTGACGCGGCGTGCACGATGAAGAAGGTCGATGCTCCGGTGGTTTGCTGCGAGAGTGGACGCGGCCTCGTCTCCCACCACTCGGTCCTCGTCTTCGACGTCTACTCCGCCACCCGGGTGCCAAAGGCCAAGTCTTCCGAGCAGGAGGAGCTCCTGGGGATGGTCCAAGAGCTCGAGTTTTGCGAGTGGGGCGAGCTGGATCTCCCGCTGGGCCAGCTCTGCGAGATGGTCCGGGCCAAGAGCTATGGGGTCGCGGCCGAGTACGCCAGGAACGCCAGGAGCGAGGCGTCGAGGCTGTTCAAGTCGGGGCTGGTGAGCCTGGAGCTGCGAGCCGGGCTGGAGCGGCTCTACGAGCTGCTGGTGGCATCATCGATGAGGCAGGCTCCGGCGACGTACCACATGAATCTCTCGATGTTCAAGGCGATCCCGGACAACTGGGCGCTCGGCCAGCTCTTCCCGATCGTCCCGCTCCAGCGCCTCAACGAGGAGCCGACCGTGAGAGCGATCCTCTCGGACCTCACCTGCGACAGCGATGGAAGGATCACGTCGTTCGTGTGTGGCGGCGGTGGCGGCGGCGGGGACACCGAGCGGCCATCGCCAAGCTTGCCCGTCCACGAGCTCGAGGAAGACGACGGTGTACGGGCGGGCGGCCGTGCGCGTCCGTACTACCTGGGCCTCTTTTTGGGTGGGGCCTATCAGGAGGCGCTGAGCAGCATGCACAACCTGTTTGGTGTAATGCACGTGGTTCACGTGGCGAGCGATGGTGGCGGGGGGTTCAGTGTGACGCGGGAGATTCCTGGCCAGTCGATCGCGAGCGTGCTCCGTAGCGCGCAGCACGACCCAGGTGGCATGTTCGATTCCCTGCGCGCGCGGGTGATTGGGTCGCTGGCCGCGGGCCGATTCCATGGCGAGCGTGAGGCGCGGGTGGCGCTCCAAATCCTGGCCAAGACCTTCTCCAGCTACACTTATCTCCACACCATCGCGTCTACTACTACTACAACTACTTCTGATGTGGTGGAGTGAGTGACATCTACTTGCTCGGTCCCAGAGAATAAGCACCACAAATAACATTGTCAGACCATTTCAATTTTTGCATTCAATATACTGTTTTATGTAACAATCAGATTCTCACGGTTGTTGGGCTGCTGGTAGTCCCAGGATTGGGAAGACAATCATCTTTGCATTGCAGCTGTAGCGTTATTACCCTCAGGACCGAGTATAACTTGCCTTAGAAACAGGAATAACGCCCCCGGGATTGTCTGCTTTACTTCCCTTGCTGCTAAATCGCATGTATAAAACGTGCACTCGTACATCTGAACGATATCCGGGTGTGATCCTGTGGTACATCTTCGAACATGCAAAGCGATTAAACAACTCTGCAGGAGACAGTTCCGGGTCAAGCAAAACGGTGTTGCTTCTCACCAACCTTCTACTGCTACTTTTACCTCTTCGCTAGCTTACGTGAGAATACATGAAAATGAAATAACATTGTCAGACCATTTCAAACAAAAGGATTTAAAATCCGTCTTAGAATCAGTCGTGATTCTTTTCAAGTTCTAAATGACCACGAGAACTTTGGGAGTTTACTGACGGTGAAAATGTCCCGGAAGTCTCGGAGAGACCAAGCGCGGTGCTTCGCGTATCTTGTAAAGGCGCAACCCTGCAGATTGGTCAGGACACCGCTTTGTTTGACCCGGAACTCTACTACTGGCAAGCTGCACAAGTCTGGTCGGCTGTAGAGTTGCGCTGGCCTGCTTCACCTTTCTAGAAGACGGGATGACACTTGTGAAGCCTGGTTTGTGCTCGAGAACCTGCAAATTGACTATGGTATCTCAAGCAATCTACAATCCCTAGAGATATATAGGAAACTTTGCTTTTTTGCTATGGCCATTAGTTAAACTCTGCATGATTATTTTAAAACTACTTACTATAGATTATTTAATGTAATTATTAAAACTAACCCGTTTCTAAATGATTAGAAGAATTGGAAATTTTATTAATTATGTTATATAAATGGAAATCAAAATATGTGGCAAGCATGGCAAGAATTTGAATTATACTATAAGATCTATCAATTTAAAACATGTGAGTTTATAACACATATATGATCTTTTGGATGCAATTATTTTTCAAGACACATGTATACATGGCAAAGTCTAGGTCAATGTCATGTATGCAAGATTTAAGTGCCAACTTATTTAGCATATCAGCAGGGTTTAGGCTTTGGGTTCTTTCAGCTCTTGTTAGAAAGTTCTATAACATATATAATGACATTATAAAGTCAATTGATCATTAGCCACCAATGCTTCTACATATAATAAAATTGAACATATGTTAAAAGTTGCTTTTCTTGAACCTTCCAGAGAATCTTTCAGCATCCCATTTCCACCCACGACTGAAAGCACATAAAGGAGGAATCCTACACAAAAGGAGAGAGATGGCCATAATCAAGAGAGCACATTTAATGAGACAAGAATAAAGCCAAAAAAAAAACACTTTCACTAAATTTTTAGTGATATCACATTGTATGCATGGCAGTTTAAGGTGTTATGCCCTATAATGCACATAATCACATTTTTATTGCAATTATAGCAATCAAAACATATATGCATAATAATTTTGTGTGCAATGTGAGTGCATGGAATATGGAAAGGGAATACAGAAATGTGCATATCAATTAGCCCAAAAACTCTAACTTATATACAGGAGCGAGTGGTCCGGATTGAAAACAATCCGACGGCTACCAAAATCCACTACGCTAATATTAGTATACGGCATCGTAACCGTACACTTGGCCCTCACATCATCCCCTCCTCTCAGAGTAATGGAAGGCCGTCAGGGTTCTCTTGTAGATGGGCCGGGATCTGGAGGAACATCAGGAGGAGGCATCGGCGGATCTGTAGACGGTATTAACTGCTCCTGATCCCTTTGTATGAAGCGTTTTAACCGCTGCACATGCACAATCTCCGGAGGATCGGCCTGCTGAACGTCATGCCGAACCTCATAAACTTGCGGTCCAACTTGCCGCAACACCCAATACGGTCCTTTCCACTGCGCAAGGAGCCCCTTAGATAAACCACGTACCGTAAGATGGGGAAAACGGACTAACACCAAATCATCCACTTTGTACTCCGCAGGTGGACGATGATGGGAGTTGTAGCGCTGTTGTTGTCCCACTTGTACGCCGCCTAAGTGTTCGGCAGACTCTGCTCGGACAAGTGGAAGAATGCTTGTCAAATACTGATCCCATGACCTAGCATCAGGAGCTTGTGGCAATCGCGAAGATAAACCCAACTCTGTTGGTAATATTGGATCATGACTATATAGAAGTTTATATGGTGAAGCACCAACAGAACTCTACACCCCTGTGACATAGGCATACCGAAGAGACGGCAAATAACCATCCCAATCCAAATGCTGAAAGTTCACATACTTCGAAATCATCCCTTTGAATGTCCGAACGAGCCGTTCCACCAGACCGTCTGATTGTGGATGATAAGCACTCGTAAAAGTGTGGCGTATCCCCATCCGAGATGTCAAAACATGAAATACC